TAAATTTACTGATTTGTTTGCCACAAAAAAGGTGGCGGGACTTTCGTGATGAGTCAAATCCCAAACACTCTCCGTCGATTTCAACAAATGCAAAGTCACGGCCAGGTCAAGGCCAGAGGTGAGCTCCCACAAAAAAGGGTTTTCCATCTCGATGTGTTCTACAGGGGGGAGGATGTGGAAATAAATTCGCAATTGATAGCCCGGACTGGCTCGTAATCAGTTTAAAAGGGCCGAATCTCAATTTGGCAATTGAGTTCAGCTGGCTGTGGCTTCGCGTTCACACCCATAATCCAATCGTTTGAAGCGCTTTTATGGATCCGAAGTGTCAAATCGCGTGGAAATTTGTTTGAATTTGAATTCGCCCCATACCTCTCTACGTGCTTCATCTGTTACACTCAGAAAATAAATTATTAAATAATATATTATATTACTATATGTGAAAGTTAAAGTTTTTATAGAATTTCAATTATAAATAAAATTAATGGAAATTGTACAAAAATAAATGTAAAACCAAGTTTTAGATCAAATTACTTTTAAACCCATCTAATGGAAGCTAAACCACTGTGCACTGATTGATGTTTGTTTTAGATCGCAGTAAATTGAAACACGTTTTTCTTCAAACTAGTTTTCATGATGCGGGCGTAAACAAAAATATCTCTCAATTCAGCTAGTGTTCTGTTCTCACGCAATTATTATTTTATTACGAAATAACTGGCTCTCTAGACAATTATAAAAACGAAAAAAGATTTGTTTACAATTTGTAATGTATCTGTCCACTTAAATCTTAGTATACCTTGGCAGTATTTTGTCGGAAATGAAGCTACTAAATCTAGTATAAATTATTTAATTAAACAATTTAGGAAAAAAAACGTGCTAAATTTAACAAAAACACAAATATTAATAGCTCGTTTTCTGAGAGGTCCAATAAATAAAATCATAAGTCTTATCTTTACAAGTAACTATCAATAAAAGCGAAAGGTTCTTTATAAAGATTAAAATTTTTAATTGTTGAATTCCACATTTGTTGACCATATTGCAACATTGAATGTTTATTATTTACCAAATTTTTTTATGAAATTATTAAATTTTTTATTCTTTTTTTTTGAATAGAAAATAAAAACAAGTAGTAAAAATTACCGCGAATGGTTTTTAAAAATGCACGATGAGATTATTTATTATTTTATTAATTGATAACTTAGTTTAGGTTTTTCTTGAATTTCGTATGGGTTTGAAGGATTGCAACAGTAAGTAACAGTTTATCTATAAAGGAGATTGTAAAATAAATACTTATTATTTGCTATGCAGATCGCCACCTGCAATCATGATTACCTCTTATCGGTACACCTTCAAATGGAAGTGCGCTGGGCAAGCGAGATCGCTGGTGAGCGCCGCGCTCTCCCGGTTGTTATCTATGGGAGCAACCCAAACCAGGGCCCCTGAGTATTCGTTCCAATCAGAGACTATAAATGGAACGCAATTTATGGTGCCGCCGCAGAAGCTCCACGGAACTCATAGCGATCGGAGGCGAATTTCATCGCTGCGAGAATGATTTTAATTACTTTGACCCTCGGCCTGTTGGCAGTTGGGCTGGTGTATGCCCTCATGACATGGAACTTTAACTACTGGCGGAAGCGTCGGGTGCCGGGACCCAAGCCCAAAATCTTCATTGGCAATTACCCCAATATGTACACGATGAAACGTCATCTCATCTATGACTTAAACGATATATATGGGTAAGTTTTCAATAACCGAAGTCGTTATTTATATTATTTATTTATTTTCGATACAAATAAAACTGAGATAACTAAACTTTTAGAAAATATAAAAACAAGTACGATGCAGTGGGCATTTTTGGTGGGCGTTCCCCCCAACTGTTGGTGGTCAATCCGGAATTGGCTCGTCGCGTCTTCGTTTCTGACTTTAAGAGCTTCCATGACAATGAGATTTCAAGGAGTATTGATGAGAAAACCGACTTCATTTTCGCCAATAACCCGTTCTCGTTGACTGGCGAGAAGTGGAAAAATCGGAGAGCTGATGTCACCCCGGGCCTGACCATGGGACGGGTAAGACAACTGCAGTTAATGGAGAGACAATTAAATATTAATAATGCCTCAATATATCTAATGCCCCCGCAGATTAAAACTGTCTATCCGGTGACAAACAAGGTGTGCCAGAAGCTGAGTGAGTGGGTGGAAAAGCAAATTCGATTGGGCGCTCCAGAAGGTATCAATGCCAAGCACGTAAGTAAAGATTTTGAAAATGGCATGGAATTTTATAATATTCCGCTGTCCGAGTGTAAACAATATTTTAGAGAACCTTAAATGTCTCATACGATACTTTTTTAATTTGTATACTAAACTTACTTTATACCCCCAGATGAGTCTCTGTTTCACCTCGGAAACGGTCACCGACTGCGTTTTGGGTCTTAGCGCCGAGAGTTTCTCGGAGAAGCCCTCGCCCATTATGCAATACATCAACGACCTGTTCAACCAACCCTGGACCTTCATGATCTTCTTCATCCTGACCAGCACCTTCCCGCTTCTGAACAAGATAATCAAGCTACGCTTTATACCGCCGCACGTGGAGAAATTCTTCGTCAATCTCATGGGCACTGCGGTGGAGGTACGCCGTGCTCAGCTGGCCAGTGGAAAGCAGTTTGAGCGGACGGACTTCCTCGACTACATTCTGCAGCTGGGCGAAAAACGTTCATTGGACACTCGTGGTCTGCTGGCCCACACCATGACCTTCCTGCTGGACGGATTCGAGACGTCGGCTACTGTCCTCTCGCACATGTTGTTGCTGCTGGGACGCAACCAAGAGGTGCAACAGCGTCTGCGTGAGGAGATCCAGGAGCATCTGAAAAATGGCATTATTGAATTCGATAAGCTCAACGATTTGCCCTATTTGGACGCCTGTCTGCAGGGTGAGTTAGTGCTTATATCAAGCTTGATACCCCTAATCTAATCTTGTTCACGTCTTGATCTTCAGAAACGATTCGCCTCTTCCCGCCTGCCTTCATGTCCAACAAGCTCTGCACCGAGGACATCGAGCTGCCCAACAAGGATGGGCCCAACTTCTTGGTGGAGAAGGGCACCGTGGTGGTTGTACCCCACTACTTATTCATGACGGATCCCGACTACTTTCCCGATCCCCTGGAATTCCAGCCGGAACGTTTCAGTGAGCCCGATGCAGCCAAGAACTTCCGCGAGCGTGGTGTCTTAATGGGATTCGGAGATGGTCCCCGGATATGTATTGGTAAGGCCAAACTTTTTGATATATATACATAATCTAAAGTTCAATTCACTTATAACCTTATTATGATAAAAGCTGATAACATTTCCATATCTACAATTCACTGATAACATCATTATGATAAAGTTTAATTTCATAGCCCCTTAAATCATGATAATATTTTTACCTTATCGCTTTATTTTTAGGAATGCGGTTTGCCACAGCACAGATTAAGTCAGCGATTGTGGAAATCATCTCAAAATTCAACGTCAAGATTAATCCCAAGACCCGCAAAGATAACGATTTTGAGCCCACCGGAATCATCGTTAACCTACGCGGTGGCATCTGGTTAGATCTCCAAAAGCTCTAGTCATTCAATCAAGCTACCACTTCCCCTAATGCGACCCAGTTAAAGGTAGTTTATATTATATGACTTTTATGATATACTTTACTGACCGTAATATTACTGTTCTTAATTTTATTGCCATTATTAAATAACAGATGCTTCTAAAAATGAATTTTACGATCTATTTTGATGAGCGTGATCTCTTTATAGATTTTTGGCTGAATTTATCTTTCCAGTAAATAAGGTAATAAAAGGAAAAATGGTTTAAGCTCACATTGTTTAATTAAATAATATAAAAATTTAAATTTAAAAGAGATAAAGGGGAGGGGGCTATTATATATTCCTATTATATACCTAGATTTACTCTTTCATATACATATATACTAATATGAGATAAATAGACTTTAGTAACTAAAAACAAAGTAAAAAGGTCTTCAACTGATTATAAAGCAACCTATTAAGCCAAGTTTAAAGAGTTTCTTTTAGTGAACTTCCCCCTTTTCCACCCCTCCAATCAAATACAAAAACCATAGGGGTCCCAACGGGTTTTTCGTGTCCATAAGAATTCATGAAATTTGACACAAAATTTAAGACTTATATAAAATGGCTATACCTCAAATTTGATGAAAATCAGCTGAAAACTGAAAAAGTTATCAATTTAATTGTATTAATTTCTCGATCGTTCCTACGGGAGCTATATGATATAGTAGTCCGATTTTCATAAAATTTTATTCAAAATTGTAGAGTATAGTTAAATGGCTATATCTCAAATTTGAGCCAATTCTATTGAAAACTGAAAAAGTTAAATTTTTTTTGTAAAAATTTTCCGATCATTCCTGGCAGCTATAGGATATAGTCGTCAGATCCGGCCCGTTCCGACATATATACGAGTGAGAGTATATAGAAGGCTAACTACAAAGTTAAGCTTTAAAACTGAGAGACTAGTTTGCGTAGAAACGGACAGACGGACAGAAGGACAGACGGACAGACAGACATGGCTAGATCGACTCGGCTGTTGATCCTGATCAAGAATATATATACTTTATAAAGTCGGAGGTGCCTCCTTCACTGCGTTGCAAACTTCTGACTGAAATTATAATACCCTGCAAGGGTATAAAAAACAAGTAGTAATAATTACTGCGAAAGGTTTTTAAAAATGCACGTAACTTGATGAGATTATTTATTATTTTATTTATTGATTGGTAAGTGTAGGTTTTTTGTTGAATTTCGTATGGGTTTGGAGGATTGCAACAGTAAGTAACAGTTTATCTATAAAGGAGATTGTAAAATAAATACTTATTATTTGCTATGCAGATCGCCACCTGCAATCATGATTACCTCTTATCGGTACACCTTCAAATGGAAGTGCGCTGGGCAAGCGAGATCGCTGGTGAGCGCCGCGCTCTCCCGGTTGTTATCTATGGAGCAACCCAAACCAGGGTCCCTGAGTATTCGTTCCAATCAGAGGCTACAAATGGAATGCAATTTATGGTGCCGCCGCAGAAGCTCCACGGAACTCATAGCGATCGGAGGCGAATTTCATCGCTGCGAGAATGATTTTGATTACTTTGACCCTCGGCCTGTTGGCAGTTGGGCTGGTGTATGCCCTCATGACATGGAACTTTAACTACTGGCGGAAGCGTCGGGTGCCGGGACCCAAGCCCAAAATCTTCACTGGCAATTACCCCAATATGTACACGATGAAACGTCATTTAATCTACGACTTAAACGAAATATATGGGTAAGTTTTCAAGATCTACGGTTTTATTTCTATTATTTATTTATTTGCAATACAAATAAATCTGAAATAACTAAACTTTTAGAAAATATAAAAACAAGTACGATGCAGTGGGCATTTTTCGTGGGCGTTCCCCCCAACTGCTGGTGGTCAATCCGGAATTAGCTCATCGCGTCTTCGTTTCTGACTTTAAGAGCTTCCATGACAATGCGATGTCAAGGAGCATTGATGAGAAAACCGACTTCATTTTCGCCAATAACCCGTTCTCGTTGACTGGCGAGAAGTGGAAAAATCGGAGAGCTGATGTCACCCCGGGCCTGACCATGGGACGGGTAAATAGCTGCAGTTAATGAAGAGACAATTAAATATTAATAATGCCTCAATATATCCAATGCCCCCGCAGATTAAAACTGTCTATCCGGTGACAAACAAGGTTTGCCAGAAGCTGAGTGAGTGGGTGGAAAAGCAAATTCGATTGGGCGCTCCAGAAGGTATCAATGCCAAGCACGTAAGTAAAGATTTTGAAAATTGTATGGAATTTTATAATATTCCGCTGTCCGAGTGTAAACAATATTTTAGAGAACCTTAAATATCTCCTACGATTGTATACTAAACTTACTTTATACCCCCAGATGAGTCTCTGTTTCACCTCGGAAACGGTTACCGATTGCGTTTTGGGTCTTAGCGCCGAGAGTTTCTCGGAGAAGCCCTCGCCCATTATGCAATACATCAACGACCTGTTCAACCAACCCTGGACCTTCATGATCTTATTCATCCTGACCAGGACCTTCCCGCTTCTGAGCAAGATAATCAAGCTGCGCTTTATACCGCCGCACGTGGAGAAATTCTTCGTCAATCTCATGGGCACTGCGGTGGAGGTACGCCGTGCTCAGCTGGCCAGTGGAAAGCAGTTTGAGCGGACGGACTTCCTCGACTACATTCTGCAGCTGGGCGAAAAACGTTCATTGGACAATCGTGGTCTGCTGGCCCACACCATGACCTTCCTGCTGGACGGATTCGAGACGTCGGCTACTGTCCTCTCGCACATGTTGTTGCTGCTGGGACGCAACCAAGAGGTGCAACAGCGTCTGCGTGAGGAGATCCAGGAGCATCTGAAAAATGGCATTATTGAATTCGATAAGCTCAACGATTTGCCCTATTTGGACGCCTGTCTGCAGGGTGAGTTAGTGCTTATATCAAGCTTGATACCCCTAATCTAATCTTGTTCACGTCTTGATCTTCAGAAACGATTCGCCTCTTCCCGCCTGTCTTCATGTCCAACAAGCTCTGCACCGAGGACATCGAGCTGCCCAACAAGGATGGGCCCAACTTCTTGGTGGAGAAGGGCACCGTGGTGGTTGTACCCCACTACTTATTCATGACGGATCCCGACTACTTTCCCGATCCCCTGGAATTCCAGCCGGAACGTTTCAGTGAGCCCGATGCAGCCAAGAACTTCCGCGAGCGTGGTGTCTTAATGGGATTCGGAGATGGTCCCCGGATATGTATTGGTAAGGCCAAACTTTTTGATATATATACATAATCTAAAGTTCAATTCACTTATAACCTTATTATGATAAAAGCTGATAACATTTCCATATCTACAATTCACTGATAACATCATTATGATAAAGTTTAATTTCATAGCCCCTTAAATCATGATAATATTTTTACCTTATCGCTTTATTTTTAGGAATGCGGTTTGCCACAGCACAGATTAAGTCAGCGATTGTGGAAATCATCTCAAAATTCAATGTCAAGATTAATCCCAAGACCCGCAAAGATAACGATTTTGAGCCCACCGGAATCATCGTTAACCTACGCGGTGGCATCTGGTTAGATCTCCAAAAGCTTTAGTCATTCAATCAAGCCACCTAATGCGACCCAGTTTAAGGTAGTTTATATTATATGACTTTTGTGATATACTTTACTGACCGTAATATTACTGTTCTTAATTTTATTCCCATTATTAAATAACAGATGCTTCTAAAAATAAATTTTACGATCTATTTTGATGAGCGTGATCTCTCTATAAATTTTTGGCTGAATTTATCTTTCCAGTAAATAAGGTAATAAAAGGAAAAATGGTTTAAGCTCACATTGTTTAATTAAATAATATAAAAATTTAAATTAAAAAGAGATAAAGGGGAGGGGGCTATTATATATTCCTATTATATACCTAGATTTACTCTTTCATATACATATATACTAATATGAGATAAATAGACTTTAGTAACTAAAAACAAAGTAAAAAGGTCTTCAACTGATTATAAAGCAACCTATTAAGCCAAGTTTAAAGAGTTTCTTTTAGTGAACTTCCCCCTTTTTCACCCCTCCAATCAAATACAAAAACCATAGGGGTCCCAACGGGTTTTTCGTGTCCATAAGAACTTTTTGGTTGTTTACACTAAAGTGGTAAAAATACACGGGGGACGAAAATAAAAACAAAAATAAAACAAGCTGGCGATGAAAAAAAAACGTATTCAAGTCAGGTAATTTGGTCTTTTTCTTTGATATGGTACATTCGGTTATGTTTCGTATGCGTTCGGTGCAAATTGCTTTCCTTTTTTGTTTTTTTGTCCTTTCACATTTCATTTTATTTACTCGCGGCGACATGAAGCCGCCCATATTTATTGCATAATTTTCAGCATAGCTCCCTCCCACACACCCACGAACATTGATTGTGCAAATAAAGGAACTCAAATATTACCCGGCACTTCAATATCGTTGTGATTTTTGCTCCCATGATAATTGGGTTGACAGGTCCGATTTTTTTCTTTCATTTCTACACTGGTTTACTCCATTACCCAGTTTGTTGGTTTCTTACAAAAGGGACTGTATGGAACTAAAAACTAATATATTTTAATCGGATTTAAAAAATATATTTACATTTTAGGTTAAGAAAAAAACGTTAATACAAACGTATTCAAATACATCACAGGAAATAAGGAGTGCTAAGCTTTTGCTATAAAGCTTTGCGTCAAAAAATTTTTCACATCCTTTTATGGAAACTTTATAAAACTGGTTCAAGTAGTGGATAACGCGTCAAAAAGTTGTTCGCATCCTTTTTATGGGAACTTTATAAAATTGGTTCAAGTAGCGGATAACTCTTTTTTAACGCCGGCGATGTAGGTAACCATTTTTAGAGTTACAAAGAAATGTTGTGTAAAGGATTTACAGTTTAAAATAGATGTTTTTCAACGTAAGCTTTACATGAGAGTAATTTAAATTATTTAAAATATATATTTTATTGTTTTTTTTTCATCGTATTAACTAAAAACGATTATTCGTACATTGATATTGAGTTAGCAGGGATCCCTTAAATGTATTCCTAAGAACTAGTATTGAAATGGTCCTTAAGGATTTTGGGGATAGCACTTAGAAAACCTACACTACTGTTTTCCTTAATAAGTTTGAATTCATAGCTCATCCGCCCCATTGACATCGGCTACCAGCTCTATCTTCTAGTTTCGGCCAGCAACACGGCGTTCTGATGCAACTTTGTCTCCTCATGCTGGCGCATATGATGCAAGAGACGGAAATCCTTGTGGCAATATTCGCAGCGATACTGCTTGATGTCCGTGTGGATAAGCTCGTGCTTGGTCAACGAATGAGCGTAGGCGAATGGCTTGTCACATACCTTGCACACATACGGCTTGATGCCACGGTGAACACTTGAAGATAAGGAAATTAATTATTAGACTTTGATTTATTATATACAGATGTGACACCTACTTCTCATGGGACTTGAGCACGCTTTCGTAGAAGAATTGACGGCTGCAGAAGCTGCACTTGTAGGGCTTGCTTCCAGTGTGGGAGAACATGTGCTTGCGAAGCTGCTCGCGCACCTGGAACTTGGCATCGCACAATCTATAAAGTCATACAAGTTAGACCTTGTTGTATACATACATAATTAATACTTACTCGCAGGCATACTGACACACGGCATCGTGTCTTCGCCGATGCTCCATCATTCTTCCTCGCTTCTCGTAGAAGTTGCCGCACACGTCGCAGATGTAGCCGCCCTTCTCGGTGCCGTCGGATGTGGTCAGCGAGTTGAGGCCGCGACGAACGCGTCCACGCCGGGCCTTTATACTGCTCTTGGCCGCCTCCTGCAGCACCAGCTGCTCCTGCTGTGTCTCTTCATACTCCTCCTTGGCCTCCTCAACCACAATCTCGCCTTGTTCCGGATTTATGTCAATGGTGTAGTTATCCTCTAAGTACTCGATGGTGTCGCCCATGCACTCCTGCTGTTCAGTGGCGTCTACTTCCAGGTACTCCTCATGCTCTTTTTCGACTGGGCTCTCTTCGATGACGTACATCTCCTCGTCGCACTGCGTTTGCGAACCTTCCTCCTCCTTGATCATTACCTCCTCGGACTCTTCAATCAGGCCCATTTCGCGGAGATAGTCCTCAATCTCCGCCTGTTTGCGGAGGGCCTTCTCGCGGAACTGAAAGGCCATGTTGAGCTCCACCTTGCATGACCGGCAGATGCCATCAGGGATGTGTTCGCTCTCATTTAACTAGTGACCGGACAGGGATAGAATTAACACCTTATCGGTATTATCAAATTGGCAAACGAACCCTGCTATAAGAAATTCCCAGAAGCTGAGTAAGCATCTCGTTTGGCGTCTCCTCGCCCTCCTCACGGCACTCCTCCAGCCTCTGCAGACGTGGACTCGGCTCCAGACACACCCGGCACGTCTGTGGTGTTAGTTCGCCGTGCATTTTCGATTCCAGGTCTTCGATTTAATTAAAAGAACCGCTCGGCTCAGTATTTTAGTGTTAAAATTTGTATTGCTCAAAAGTGTTGTGTAAAGCGACCGAAAAAAAACTCTGTCAGAAAATGGCGACTTCTTTTCCAGGGATGCAACACACACAAATGCGGTTCATATTACTGGTTCCGAGCAACTGTGGAAGTGAGTTGGTTCTTAGGATATATAATAAATCTTATTTAAAATATAGTTGGATTTAAACTTAAGTGTAGCGGTTGAGATACATAAAACCAACTCATCCTTTAAATAAATTTGAACTTGAGTAAAATTTAAAAATAATTTTAGTTTGTTTATTTACATATCGCCCATTATAGTACAACAAATTATAAAAGTATCAATTCGTTAAGTATCATGTTATTACATTTAGTACTTGCGTGTAGCCTTTAACAACATTATCGCAAACAAATTATATATTTAAATGGAATATCTATATATTTGAAGATTTGGAATAATTATTAATATATCTCAAAAAACATATTACAGTGCTGTGATTTCACAAGTTCATGAAAATGTCAGCCCTGGTCAGTAACGATAACGATGACAAACTATTACTTTAAGATTATTTCTGCAGTTCTGACGTGAGCTAGGTAAATAAGGAACATCAATTTGCATTTAATAAGCTGTTAACATTAATATAATTACTTTAAGCTTTATTTAATAATATCAAAATCTAAATACAACACCGTGTTTACATCCGTGAACCTTGGCAAAAATAGTACTTTATCGCAGCGCGACAGTCTGGCAACTCAGCATATTTTTCGAGACGCAGAACGCAAGATATTTCTTATCTCCGTTAAAAAATGGATTATTCCATTTCAATCGGTGCCTATCTCATTGGAAAATCGCACACTAGTTGGCAGTAGAGCACGCCACGCACTTTCCACGCACCAGGCCAGACCACCGACCCCCGCCCGAGGGGAAAATGGGAAAGCAACATTATCTGGCATCCGTATCTTCGTCAAAATGTTAGTTATCGACTCCGCAATCTCCGTCTCCTAAAGCTCGCACGCACACAAACGTACCACACGCGCCAGCTGCGTAACCTTCCAGCAGGAAGTGGCTGTAATCTCGGCCAGGAACCACAACAAAAGCGCGAGTTACAGGAAAAAAGCAGCAGCAGGCAGGAGGGAAACGGAGGCGCCGTTGCCACTAGCACCTAACATGTCCGAGAAGCATGGCCAGCTGGGTGCGCAGTGGACGAAATCAGCGGCGCCAGCAGCACAAGCCTCCACCACCATCCCCGTGCAAGTCCCGATTCCACTTCCGATCCCAGTTCCAGTTCCCCTTCAAAAGGCACACCCAAATCCCTACGGCAACTGCAATCTACAGCCAACGGATATCACCTACACCGCCGCGCGATTCCAGACGCCCGTTATCCATGCCAAGGCATCGCCTCTGACGATAACACCCGTGGGCAGCGGAGGAGCAGTGCCTGCTGGCTCCCAGATCTCACCCACGAGCCACACCCATGTACCTGTACCTGTAGCCACGCCCAGCGGCTTTGTTCCGCCTCCGTTTCCCAATGCCGGCACTGGAGCCACCTCCGTGCTCACACCAAATCCCTTTGTCGCCGCTGCCGGGAACGCTGCTGCCGGACTGGCCTTCGCCAATGCCTTATCCTTTAACACAGCTCAGCAATTAGGTCTGGGAAAGATCATGCACGTCGTGGGAGGAACGCCACCAGCTGGAACAGTACCAGCAACAACAGCACCAGGAGTCCCTGCAGCTTCGCCCTCAGTTCCAGCAATAGCAGGTCAAAGGCATTCGAACGAGGCTGGACCAGCGGCCAGTGGGGTAATTAATTCCACCATTGCCGAAAACGTGATGAATGCCTTGACTAACTCCCAGTCGGCGACGGCTGGAGGAGCTCCGGTGCCCAGTGAGGAGAAAATGCGACGTGTGCAGCAAGTCATTGAGTCCAGTTTGGAGTAAGAATCAAATATCACTAGTTAACCACTACCTGGTTCTCTCAAGCTAATATCGTTATTAATTTCTTCACAGCGACGCGGCCAAGCTGCAGATCTCGCAGATCCTGGAGCGTGTCTCCGTATTGAAGCCCATCGAGAAGCTATTCCTATACCTTCGCTTGCCCGGCGAATGCGCTGATACAGATCCCCTGAGGCAGCCACAGAATCCGTTGGGAACGCGCTCTGAGATTAATCACACCATCAATTGGGTGCGTTCCCACCTGGAGCACGATGCACAGGTGTCCATACCCAAGCAGGACGTGTACAACGATTACATGTAAGTGATTTTCCTTTTCTTAATACCATCAGGTAACATTTTCAACTCCTTACAGAGCTTATTGCGAACGCCTAAGCATCAAGCCCCTGTCGACAGCAGATTTTGGCAAGGTTATGAAGCAAGTCTTTCCGGGCGTACGCCCCCGGAGATTAGGAACGCGAGGTAACTCCCGCTACTGCTATGCGGCCATGCGGAAGACTACTAAGCTGACGCCGCCTCAGTTGCCGCAACTGAACAAGAGCGACAAAGGTCTCGCTGATGATCCTTCGGCTGACTCCAAGCAGTTGACAGTTAGCCCCAATATGGTTGGATTACAGCCTACTACAGGAGGAGGGGACTCTGAATGTTGGGATGTGGTGCGAGGTTGGGCGGAGAAATTGCTAAACACCAAGCTGGAGAGTGTGGCAGACTTGAGTAGCCGCATCAGAAGCAACAATGCCACAGTTTCGACCAAGAAATATGCACCGCGAGAGCCCAAGGATAAGAGGGTTCTAACCGTAAGTTGGGGAGCTCACAGGTTCTTCCAGTATACAAACTAATTATATCCTTATGCAGGACATTGGACCACTGAAGAAAAGACGCAAAAAGAAACGCAAAGGCTCAACATCCTCGGAATCCAGCTGCAATCAAATGGCCACTGGGCAGGATGCGGGCAGTAGTCAGGATGCCAGCGACGAACAGTTACTCAAGATCAAGCAGGAGATCATAGACTCACCCATTCAGCACCATCAGCAGCAACAGCAAGTACCCCTGGCCTACCTGCAGCAGGTGACGCCCATGAATTTGGCCACAGACCAGCGAACCAGCAGTGCTGTGCGCAACCTTACGCCCAAAATCATGGAGATGGGCACGCCGTCCGTCGTGCTGTCCCAGCAGGAGGAGCCGTCGCCCACGGGGCTAGTGATCAAGGACGAGGTGGAGGACTACACATCGAACATATTCTGCAAGAAAGTTTTAAAAGCGCAGCAGACGAAAGGTTTCTGGGCCAATTCACCAAGCAGCGGGACAACAGGAAGCGGTGGCGGCCTCCTAGTGCCTCCAACAATCACCACTACCTCGGCGACGCCACCTCCGCCGAATTCGGGTAATTCTCCAGTTCCCGGTCCTGGCCCCGGACTCTCCATGGGTCCACCCTCACAGATGATGATCGTCAATTCGGTAAGTCCATCAAGCAGCATGGACGCCACACCCAAAGTGGCCTCCCGCAATCAGATGATGATCCTAAGAGCAAAGCGCTTGATGGCTGCGGAAAATGCCGCCGTTGCAGCGGCCGCCGAAGACTCTGGACTGCCGGAGAACTTGGGATTGCCCAGGGAGCGAGTGATCAGCATATGCAACATGGATAAGCATGAGCTGGATGACTATTTCCTGCCCGGCGAGGATGAGGAAAACTCCGAGGAGCCCGACAACGAGCTACTCCAATATTTTCAGATGGGAGACGCTGAGGAAAAACAACTAAATTCCTTGGATGCTGCAGAACCAAATAGGAATCCACAAGAGCCAACGTCGATGGGCTCTGCGCCGGAGGCGATGCCCGCTCCTGGCAGCGGAGCAGCAGCCGTCGTCGCCGCAGCAGCAGCGATGTTGGCGCCGATACCGGCGCCTTCTATGCTGCCCGGTCAGGCGGGAGTGGGTTCTGCCTCAGCGTCTCTGGCCTTAATGTCAAAAAAGCATCAGCAGCAGCAGGAGAAGCAGCAGCAATCCAAGCCGCTGCCCAGCATTATCAACAACAACAAGCGAAAGATCAGCCTGAGCAATGCATCCAGCAACGGTAGCAACAAGAACCATTTCTTACCAATTTCGCCGAATATCAATGGGTCCAACGGAGCTGTAACGAGTGCATCCACTCCGGCATCGGCCCCACCATCGGCAAATTCCAGCCAGAATTGTTTTGCAAGCCCGGGCGTGACTCGGATGAAACAGCGATCAAGTTTGCTCAGCAAACAACAATCCTTGGACTGTGACAACCGTGATCCCATGATTGGAGCCCATCGCAAGGGGCGTGGCTATGTGTACAGCTATCCAACAAGCACGTCGGCCTCCGCACCCCCAAGTCCGTCGCTCCTTCAGCAATGGATGGGCCCCAGTTGGTCGTTTAGTGGCGTCGGCAATACGTGCAGTTTCACGGACAGCAGTCAGAGCGCCGATCCACTGGTTAACCAGAACTCAATGGATCTGGAGACTAGTCTAGCGCTGACGGGTCCCAATGATCTAGATTCATCGGAGATGCAGCGCTCGCAGTCAGTGCCCTTGTCCCAGCTACAGAGAAGGTGCAGCCAGCAGTCGCCCAGCCTGAATTTCTACTCGGAGAACAGCAACAGCCAGCAGTCGGCTCCGCTAAAGGATACAGGTTTGCTCTACGAAGACGTTGATGTTAGCGCGCTGATCTCGCCCAATTTCAATCACAAGTTCAGCAGCATGACACAGCAAACGGCAACGACGTGCAGCTCCTCGGCGGGCTCGTCGTCGGGTTACAGCAGCGGCGGCTCCGCGGGAATAGTTTCGCGATCGGTGCCCTCCACTCCCCTGCCCCATCAGCAGCAAAGCAGTCTAACATCAATGAATGGGAGTGGGACGACAGCCAACGGAGCAGGTGCAGGAAGAGCAGGAAATGGAAATGGTGCAGGTTGCGGAGTAGAGAATGGCTTCTTTAACATCTCGCCCTCGTTTAATTGGGGCAAAGCCTCGACCGGAAATGGAAACCATTTGGCTTACGGCCCGCACACTTACGGGTCCCGGAATCCGCTGGATATATCCAAGTCTATGCCCACAACGCCTATTGCTAATCAATGTTTCCGCTACAGTCCCGCTGAGATGCACCGCGACTTCCTTATCAACGGCAACACCATAGACAGTTTACCCTCGTCGTCGGCCTATGGAGCGGGCATGGTGGCCACAGATCCTGGGCTGGGCCTCAGCTCGGACACCCTGATCGATGATAGTGCTCCCAGCAGCGCCGATGTGGTCGAAGCAATGATTGGTGTCGAAAACATACTCGATGACTTTTAGAATTTGCATGAAGAGGAAGCTCAGGAGATCGTATTGCCCCAGCGACAAGAGTTGGATGCGGATAAGGAGGATGGGGAGAAAGAGGAGGCTCAATCGGCTGCAGAGAAGGATGCCAATGTGGTGGCCTGTCTGTTGCAGCATGTGGACCAGTTGTAGAGCCACCCGTCCTCTTGCAATCCGCCTCCATTTCTCGCCGCTTTTACATAATTCATTTGTTGTTGTGTTCACTCCCCGTCTAGTTAGTTTTTAGTGTACAATTGATCCTGTTCTTTTTGAAAAAAAGAGATATTTAAATTTAATGTTAAACCGCGGAAATCGAGACAGCCTCTTAGACAAAAATAGCAGGATCAGCATCCCCCAATTAACCTCCTCCTCCACAAATGAGCTTTCTCTTCATGTCACTCGCAAGCTAAAAATCCAACAAGATCCTATCTTCCCTCTGTCTAATCTAACGTTAACTAATCACCAGTTTAACCATAGCCTCCAATTGGTTTCATTCAGCATCGGAAGTACATATCTGTGCTTCAGTCGACTTTTATAACCTAATCGTAACCCTCAGGCCCTCGTTGTATGAGCATATGCACTTGGCATATTGTTATTATCACTAAAAATTTAACATTAACACGATGACGATGATGGCGTCGGAATGTAGTTGCATAGTTTTACAAGTTGAACAACCTTACAAATGAAACGAACTTAAAGTCTGAATGAAGGAAACGTGTGCAGCGGTTTTAAAAACGAAAACAAATTTACAAAATTGTAACTGTAAATGTATGTAGTACATCTATCTATATATAGAACTATAGATCTAAACCTCGGCGCTGGACGAGTTTGCTTTCCTGCGACCCTCGATTGTAATGCATATTTAATGTATAGCTCCATTTCTAAGGAGCTTTTCCCTGTCGATTTTACGAAGGGGTTGCAGCAAAGTTGCAGTCTCTGTTCAATAATTGTCAAATTTTATTGTGTGTTTGTATGGTGTTGTAAGAAAGGCATTGAGAATAGCGAGCTTTGTCAATTGTTCATCCATTTGTTGGCCTTCTGGGCGTGGTTTTTTTGCTTTTACTAACACAACCCCGATCTAAATCTTCTGTTACTATCTTTAAACTTTTCACTTGTCTATCCTAAAGGCTTGGATTTTTCAATTAGCTGTAAGTGTTTGATTGTTATACCTGTTTATTATTTTTTGTTTAATTCGCGCTCGGTCGTCTGGATCTGCGTTTATTACTTTAGTTAAGCTATCACTGGATATTGTAAGCGTTGTCTGTAATTCAAGTTTTCTATCGGTTGCCTGAAATTCTAGTTGTAATGTCGTTTCTTGTGCCCAGTTTAGCAGAGTCTGTAAGTTCTGTTTAATTGTCTTGAACCGAGCTTAGCTTTAATCACTTTGATATAAAATAATTCACATTGCAAATGAATGTTAGTTTGTTTGTAAAACAAAGTAAAACACAAGCCCATACCACTTCCGTTCTAACACACACAAAATTCAGCTCCTGTGTGAGCAAAAACGCGTTTTAAAAAAGAATGTTAAGAAAATAAATCATAAATGTGCCTCAGGCTTTATTGTAAAACAATTAAATATATACCACAACAAGAAGAAATATTCATACAAACATACAAAATGCATTAACGAAAAACAAACAAAAGTAGAAGAGGAAACAGAGAAGTTAGCTACGTATACACACATAATTAAATAGATTAATAGAACGTTATACGAGTATAATTAAATATACACTCATTTACAATACGCAAGGCTAGGAAATTAATGAATTTGTTAGAGAACCTCAGATTCAATCGATAATTCATACATATATAGTCAACAAAGTATAATACAATAGTCGCAGAAAAATACACCCATAGCCTATCGTATAAATATTGTCAGATAAATTCTAAATTGATATCCACAATTCAAACCGAGTATTTATTTTTAAGCAGTGAATTAACCCGCAGTCCGCTTTGAACAACAAACACAATATATAACTACGATTAAATAGCAATAGCCCTAAGTATGGTAAATAAATTAAACATATTATCACCGGGAACACTTTAGATGAGATACATGCAATTATACAAAAACAATGCATTAAAGTTAAACGAACCAAAACTGTACTTTTTATAAGATATTTGAATGACATGCAAATACAGATAACAGAAACAAACCTTTATCATGATTTATTGATTTGGGACTCTGAGGGCTGCAATGACATAGTTTTACTATCGATACTATTAATTATTTTTTATTTTTCTTTTAGATACCAAAGGGCTCGTCTTTATCAATGAGCTTATCCGCCTCCAATCGCCCTCATCGACTCTGGGTCTAGAAAACTACACTGGGAACCCACAAAGTTAAAATTGGGATTTAATTACAATAAATATCCGCAAAACCATACCCATCCAAAACTCTGTAAAATTATCTTTAATTATATTTTAATATTTTTTATTAAACGTTTAAGTTTAAAATAATAATATGCAATAAATATTTGTTAAATATACATAATAATACCTTTAATGTTAATATGCGTATGTGCTCATTTAATGTTTATCTGGTTTCCCATAATAACCATGACATTTTTAAGTTCTTCGTTTATTGTTTTATGAATTTTACATGTAAATTTAACTATTTATTTTTATATGCACTTTACATGACATTTGTTTTAATGACGCCAAAATTATAATTATTATATTTCATTTGCTACACAACTCTTTCGTCACTTTGCACGGTCGTAATATATTACGTATAAAAATCATTTTGCGCCCACGATGTACTCGCTCTCCTTGCGTTTAATACCGATTTTATTCAGTTTACACTTTCGTTAATTAATTATATATATATATATATATATATATATTACACTACGCTAATAGCACATTTGAAATTCCCATTATTCGCTATAAGTTACTGTTACTCATATAAGTTTTATGTTTTGCTAAATATTTGTTTGCTTGTGCTTGTTGTTTACTTTAAATGCTTGTAAATCATTTATTTGTTTTTTTTTTTGTTTTACTGTTCAATTGGTTTCCTGATATTCATTTACCGTCCGGCTGCTGCCCACATCGTATATAATATATATATATAAGTATCTATATATGTATATATGTTTGTATATGCCTGCTATAATATAATATAATATAATATAATATATATAAAATTGTTGTTTATTTCGCTGAGGTGGAAAATTCATTAATTTATAAGGTTACTTGTTGTTCTGCTTCTGTTGCTGATGCTGCTGCTGCTGCTGGTTGCATATTGCATGTTGCTTGTATACGTTATCTAATTCCTCTACATCAGTTTAGAATTATTGTTTTGCGATTAATCTGTTAAAGTATATGTTGTATATATCCTCTCTGCCGTCCTATTTGAGCGCACACGCAATATCTAAAATTCTATATACGCGAGCACAGATATTAAACAATTAAGGAGTCCAAAAAATAAACTATAAACCCTAAAAAATGATCAAAGAAATGTTCCGTATTCGGTTGTGCCATTTATGTATATATTAGCTAATTCGCAAACGTGCAGTTATTGTGGCCAAGTCTCTTAATGGAAAGTTACGTACTTTTCCTACAAGATTTCTTTTAAAATGTTCTCATATATATTCGTTTTTTGGAAGCAACTTTCATCTAAGCCACCTTCGTCGTACTGAAAACAGGAACGGGTTCGGAATTCGAGGGTTGGTTGGTCCCAATTCAACGTGGAGGAGAGAGACTTTAACAGCGATGGTTTTTATATTAAATATTTAAACGAAAGCAAAAACAAATCATAACCGTTTCAATTAGTTGACAATTTTATTTAAAAAAATCATAATAAGGACAAAACACATTTAACTTATAAACAATAAAATTTGAAATTAAATACAATAATAATAATAATAATTGGTACAATCGGTATAAAGAAGTCAGTAGTAACATTGTTCATCAGCAGTTTGGGTTCAACCTTATACTTATAACCTAATGCGAAATAACCGCCTAGCCTAATAATAGAATTCGCAAGGAAATAAAAACACACTGGTGACATACAGGAGGAGAGCTTGTGGCTAGCAATTGATTAATAAAATAAAACAAGGCAAATAATGGAGAGCTGTGCTATACAAATTAGTTTGCTACATGCGTACGCAATTCATTTAGTTAAAATTACAAAAAATACAATATATATAATTCACAGGGATCATCATCTCCGTTCGCAGATCCAAAATGTACAATTAATCTGGCTAAAAAGCAGCAATCGGGTCGCATGCCCTCCGCCTTCATGCTTCGTCCTTCATCCTTCAGCAAAATTGAACTAAATTAGTTTACTAAATTAATTACTCGTTGTGGTGGTCGTGGAGTTGTTTATATTCTGGGGCAGCAGGTGGTCGCCCGTCTGGCTGCGACTGTCCATCGACCAGTCCCAGTCCTTGCCCTTTGGCCGGAATTTCGAGGATTTGTGGTGATGATTATACCCGCTGTTGTGGTGAGGCGATGATTTCTCCTTTGGTGACTTGCCGGACTTTCCCAGCTGAAGTGGTGCAGCAGCAGAAGCAGCAACGATTCCTGCACTTGTGGCCGTTTCCACCAGGTTAGGTGGCCCATTTCCCGCCGCATCGGCCGCTGTCGGCGGTGCACTTGAGTTGGAGTAGGCCAGCAGCTCATCGCAGTCGTACTCCCAGTTCCGCTCGCAGAACTTCTTCTTGTAGTGCTTCTCTGAGCCGCTTTTCGACTTCCGCTGATACTTTAGCGGTATTCCAGCAATATCTCCACCGGAGGGAGGTGGACCACTGGCCAGAGGTGGCGTAGCCACACTAGCAGCACTGGGACTGGGTGTACGGGGCAATCCAACGTCCGACAGCGGCGGCGATTCGATGGCACTGGGATCCACTGGTGAAACTGTCTTCAAAGAGCTGCTGCCAGCTCCATGCAACGACGAGGATGCCGAAGACTTGATGCTACCGCTGTCGCTCAGGTGATCGGTTGTAAGGTGCTGGTGCTGCTGTTGCTGTTGTTGCTGAACCTGCAACATCTGTAATTGTTGCTGCTGATGGCTCGTACCACTGTTTCCACCGCCGACGCCGCTGCTATTGTTGTAGAGACTGTTATTGCTGCTGCTACCACCGCTGCCAATGGGCAGTTCCAGTTGCGACGAGGAGCTGGACGAGGTGGACAGGAATGTGCGCACCGCATCCGAGTTGCTGCTGCTGTGCGTAATACCAGAGTCCGGTGAGGTGTTGCAACTGATTGAGGCTGGAACCGTGTCGATGCCATCGATGCTGCGACGCGTCTTATCCAACTCCGTGCTGGCGAAGGCCACCAAGCGGTCGAAGCCGGAACTGACGCGATGCTGCCAGTGGGACTCGTCATCGGCGGCTATAACATCATCTGGAGTTGAATTATACAAAAAAGAAACGTTAGTTATTTCCCATTAAAACTTGACTTAAAATAGTGCCAATTTTTGCGTTATGGGTTGGAGTTTTGGGGTGAGCTATGGAGAGTTTTGGGGTATAAGGTCAGTCGGCGATTGTGAGAACGATAACGATAACAATGGCGGTGACGCCAGTAGTGTCCTAAGCTTATTTCTTTCTTTTTTGGTACAGTTGCGTTGCGTGCAGAAGACATGTATGTTCTTGTATTTCCTTAACGTTTAATGTGTTTTTTCTTTATATGTGTGTGTGATGATGCGTGTGGTAAATGTTAACAGAAAAGTTTGTTACAAAATGAAACTAAAAAATAAAGTAAATCATAAGTAAAAATCATAAATAAAAGAAAGAAAACCAATTAGGCGCAACAGAACTTACCTCATGCTCGGTTTTAAATTTGAATTTTTCTTTCGGGTTTTTAATTATATAATTTTTTTTTTTTTGCATATAAGTTCTGTACTTTTAGTAGGTAAATTATTAAACGCAAAAATTAAAAGTTGTCTTTATTGTAGTTTGTTTTTGACCATCAGGTTTTTTTTTCTTGTACTCAGCTTATATAATTTATTAGTTATTTAAAAGATTTTGTCTTTTAGTCGCCCAACAACAAACATGTTCTTTTTTTCTGTTTTTAGCTTTCCGCGTTTGGTTTTTTTGGTTTTCGGTTTTGAGGAATTTTGAGGTATGCAATGTCAATCAATTCAATTCAATTCAATTCAATTTCAATTCAATTCAAATCAATTTCAATTCAATTTCAGTATCGGTTTCGGTTCAATGCAATCGATCATTGGTTATTGGGGTTACTTGTGGTGTGTGGGAGCAACTACTACTACTATCTGCCAGAACATATCCATTCAGAGTGTGATTACTAGTATTATTATGCTGGGCAGCTGATAGTTTCGTTGGGCCACCAGACAGAGTCGTGCGAAGGCGACGTCTGGGATCGTAATTAGTTATAGTACGTTGCGCTGCCAAATCGTTAACTGTATGGGAGTAGAGCATAATATAGAAGGGAGTCATAAAAAGAAGGCTATGGATAAGAGGTGGTGGGGTTTGTTTTCTTTTGTTTGTTTTTTAGATATATATATTTGAGGTCTTAGAATTACCAATTTGCATATGCAGTCTTCTTTTTTTAATTTGAATTTTTAGTAAAATTGAAAATTAATTATGCTTTATAATAATAACATTCCAAGAAAGATTTTTTCATTGTTTTGGGGTTAATTTTGAAATAAATGTTTTGCTTTTATGGGGGTGTGTGTATTGTGTGTAATTTATGTATGTCTTTTTTTACAAATAAGCTTTTGTTAAGCTCTATGTTTTTTATTGTGAGTTGTGTGTGTGTTTGTGTGTGGTTGGGTTTGGGTGGCTCTGAGTAAAATTTGGTATATATGCATAGATATAGATGATTGATTTGGCATGACGCTTAGGAGGAAGGAGAAAGGAACTCTAAGGTACTTTTAGCATTATTCTCAGGATGTTGTTGGTCGTCGATTGCTTTAATTTTTCGTATGATACAAAGATGTTTTCAGGTGGAATATATATGTGTAGAAAACCCATTTAAATATTCATTTCAATCGCGATTACTGTTTTTTAATTTTAATTAACAGTAGACTCTGTATTTGTTTACTTTGTTAAATTCGTCGATGTTCGCCGTTAGTTTTGATTTTTTTTACCCTTTAAATAAAGATACTAATTACCCAAAATGTTGATGGCAAAAAATAAATAAAATCATAAGTAAAAAAAAGCAATACAAAATGATAAACAAATAAAAAACATAAATACTCAAAGACTACACGAAATGATAATAAGAAGCAACAATACAGTGAGTTCTACGAGTATAAAAGACAAAGACCAAAAGCTACAGAACAACACGCAACAATTAACATAACAATTTGATCAAAAAGTGCTTGCATTAAAAAAATTAAATAAATTTTGTTTGCATGTGCGTGTTGTGTATTTACAAAAAATAAAAAATAGAAGAGTGTGTTCAAATGTGTGTGTGTTGTTTTATGGTGTCGCTAAGTAAGTCAAGCCTCGTCAGAATCGGAATTGGCGGTACTTGAGCTGGAGCTTGAGCTGGAGCTCGAGCTAGAGCTGGAGCTGGAGCTTGAGCTAGAGGTGGAATTGTCATCATCATCGGTCACAGCTTCCACGGCTTCCACATTATCCTCTTGCTCAGGTGCATACTCCTCCACCTCCTCTTCCGACTCCGTCTTGGCTTGCTTCATAGTTAGATCTTCCGCCACCAGTTGGGCGGCGTGTCGAGTTGGGTATTTGTGCTGGTGAAGATTATGCTGTTCTTGCGGATAGGCTACATGTGCTGGTGGTGGTTTTCGTAGTGCATATGTGGGTGGTGGCCAGGCCGAATTAGCTTGGTCTACGTATAGCTTACCATCGTCGGCGGCATTAGCACTACTACGCTGTCCGCCCAAGGTTGGCGTGGTGCTGTGGCTGTGACCATGTCCATGACCATGACCATGTCCAAGATGTGGCACTCTGAGCTGCTGCAGATGTGGCTGCTGCTGCTGCGATTGATGGTGATGAAGCATTTGCTGTTGCTGCTGCGCGTGATGCGACAGATGCAGCGGTCGCTCATCGCCCATCAGCGAGTTGATCTCGGGGCTCATAAGGAGAGGTGGATTCACCAGCATTTTGCCATTGTTGTTGCTATTGCTGCGCCTGCCGCAGGACGACGATGACGAAGAGGGCGTCGGTGAGGGCGTTGTAGCATCATGAGCTGGTGGCGGCGGTGGCAACACTTGCCCGTTGGCGTACAAATGGGCTTGGTGGTGCTGCTGTGGATGCTGTGGCTGCTGCGGCGGCTCATAGTGTGCCAGCTTCGAGGGCCGTGGCGGCTGCTGATGCGGTGCCAACGGCGAGCTTCGCTTTACTCCAACTAAAAGAGAGGGAAAAGAAAGCTTAGATTGAATGCAATTTGCTGGGTGAATCGAGACCATGCTTACGCTCCACTTTGTGCGGCGTTCCATTGAGACTGGCGCCATGGTGATGATGATGATGGTAGCTATGAGCTGGCGGCGCCTGGTGGGCATAGTGAGCTGCCATATCCAAGCCAGAGTGCGGTACTCCTGCTGACGACGATGACGAAGCGGCGGCTGCAGCCCGGCGTTGACGTTCCTCGGTCTCCTCCTTGTACTTCCGGGCACGCACATGATCCTGCAGTGAAGCAGCTAGACCTGCAACATTAAACGACAAATTTAAACCTATTTCTTGCAAAAAGCTGGTTATAAAAGTTACCCTCCAATGGCGGATTGGCGCCATTAAGACGTGTTCCACGCAAGGCAGACGCTCCTGTCGATCCGGCGCCCTTTGACTGCTTCTGCTGCTGCTGCTCCTCGTGGAAGTAGGCCTCAATGCTGCCCTTGAGCTCCGCACGGGGCAAAGCCACCGGCTGATAGTCTCGTCCCGAACGAGCAGAGGAGGAGTGACCGGCTGGAGGTGGTGCTGTTGCCGAGTTCGCTCGGACTGCACCTGCCTGCGCCTTCTGGACATAGGCCACATGAGCCAGAGTGGGCAGATTGCTGTTTCCTCCTGTCGCCTGAGGACCTGCTCCTCTTTCCTGAGCATAGCTGGTGGGATGCGGCTCCTGGGATTCGTCAGAGAGCGGACGAACATGCACTCGCTCCGGTCGCTGGGCATTAAGGTTAATCAGCAGCCGATCGTTGGATCTGTCGTTCAGGAAGGTGGTCCGCTCCATGAAATGAGCACCGCCGGTGCTCATGTTCACAGCTGCATTGATGATGCTCTGATGTGAGATCTCCAAGGTGCGTTCGATCTCTCCATTAACCAGATCACCGATAGTCTTGCCCGAGGTGGCCGCGGTGGGGCCTCCCTGTCCCGGTGGCGGTGGTGGCGTGGCCTGTGGCGTTACATGCTGGCTTAGTTTCTCCTGCGACAAATGCCGACGCAGGGCCATCTTGGCGGGCGAGACTTGAGTGTAATCCGGCTGGGACGAGTTGGAGCTCGGCCTGCTGGGGGACGGATACGATAGCCACCATAATCAGAGTTAGCAGAACTGGCCCGGGGCAACAGTTCCAGTGGCTGCTGTTGCGGCGGCTCCACAATCAACTGCTCCCGGCTACTCGAACGCTGCAGGTGAAGATTATCAGCTGGCGGCGCCTTAAACTCATTCGGATGATGATGGTGGTGCTGAAGGTGCTGATGCTCGACGCGCATCTGCTGACGCTGTGCAGCATGAGCGGCTGCCGCCAGCATGAGAGCATGTTGCTGTTGCTGCTGCTGCTGCTGGACCATGAAGTGTTCATAGCTGCTGGCACTCACGGAGCTGCGTCGCCTCTGCTGATAGGCCAAGTCTGCGGGCGTGGTCGTCTGCTGCTGTCCCGCGGAATACAAGGCTGCCATGTGGGATGGCGGCGGCGGCGGCGGTGGTGGCGCATACTTGGGCTCCTTGGCTGCCTGCTGATACTTGCTCGATCCCGGAACCTTGCCCACTGCTCCGCCATAGGCTCCATACGGAAGATTCGCTGGCGGTGGCGGCGCCGTTGAGGCTGTAGCTCCGGCTCCAGGACCCGGTAATGGTGGCGTTATCGGGGATATTGTTGTGTTGGCATTCAGATGCATCAGACCCTGCGTCGACACCGTGATGATGTTGTGCAGATTGTTGGGCAGCGACTGGGTGGGATTCATGGCTCCGCCGCTCGACTGCTGTTGCTTAGATCGCTTGGGCGCCGGACTGTGGAGTGGAGAGGGCGAAGGTATAGGATCGACCGCCTTGCTGCGCTGCTCCTGATCCTCATTCAAGGCTGTGGTGATGATACTCTTCAGCCGATCCTCAAAGTTGGCCACCTTGGGTGATTCTTGCTTTCGACTTCCGGCCGAAAGTCCCGGCAACTCACACTTGGGCAGCAGGGAAGAGGGCGTCGTCATCTGTTGCTGCTGCTGTTGCTTGGGAGCTGGCATCAGAGTGCTGTCCTTGTAGTGGTGGCCAGGTGAGGATTTGATGCTCATTACTGGAGCAGCTGGCGGCGCTTGCGGTGGTTGTGGTGCCTCCAAAATTACCTTATTCTTACCATTCACCTGGTAAGCTGGCACTGCTGCTCCACCCTGGAACTTACCCGCCTCGATTTGACGGCAGGTTTCCACGATCTTCTGGGCAAGCACTTCGGGATTGCTTTCCTGAATCTTGCCCACCTCGGGCACCTCTGGCCACTCCTGTGATCGGGCGCGGTGCTCGCGACTGCGTCGAGAGTTCTTCGCGTTATTTAATTTATTGTTTGTTGGCACGGTAAGCGGATTCGACAGTGGGGTGGAAGTGGTAGTGGAGGAGGTCGTGGACGCGGACGAGGACGAAGCGGAGGCTCCGCTGTTGGGCACAGTCATCATATTGGTTCCCTGCGCCAGAAGCGTGGCTGCCGTGGAACGTTCCTCCGCCGTTTTCTGCAAAACCGTCGTCTCTTGCTCAATGGTGGACACCTGGGCGTAGAGCTTCTTGCGCTGGCTGAGCGTATTGGCGATTTCCTTAAGGACCAGCTCTTGGGCCGTGGTTTCAGACAGTTCTGGTGGCACCTCTAGCTTCACCTTGCCATTGACACCGCCGCAGAGTTTCTGGTATTCGGGCAGATTCTTTAACTGGTTCTTCAGTAGATGCTTCTGTTCGCCCTCGTAGAAGGTGACCTCGTTCCGCATCCGGCTGACAGTGTGCTGGAGATCCTTGTGCCTGCCCACAATCTCCTTGGCCTGGGCAATGAGGTCATTCGAGGAGTTACCATGGATGCCCAGCTCGTTCATTCGCACCTTGAGCAACGCAACACTGTCATTGATCAGCACCTTGATCTGCTTGTCCAGCTGGTTGGCTCGATTCTTCAACCGCGCCATCCTCTCCTGCTCCTGGGCAATCTGCTTCTGGACCTGCGGCACATAGGCACTGGATTTCATGTGCTCAATCATTGCCATGTACTGTGAGCGGAACACATCCAGCAGGATTTGTAGGGCATATGGTGTGTCCTGTGGCGCCGTCGGTATATCCAGCTCCGTATGCGCCATATTCTCCGTGAGCAGTGCCGTCAGCTGCTGATCCACGGTTCCTGGCGCCGCTGGCAGCTTCTTGGTCATGGCATCCAGTGATGTACTCAAGACCGTTTGCGTATGCAGCGCCTCGAGGCCAACAATTTTCAGTGATTTCCTGCCTCGGGCTCCCTTCTTCAAGCGTCCCTTGCGACCGGGTCCCGCACTGGCAGCCCTTGGCTGATCCTCCTTGGAGCTGGAGTCCTTGCTGGCCATCGCTGCCGAGGCAGCCGCCGCAGCAGCCGCTGCCTCTGCTTCCCTTTGAGCGGCCGCTGCCGACTTACTAGCTATCGCCGCCTTCCTGGTCAGCTTCTTGCGCTTCTTTTGGGTAGCAGCACGTGCCTGACGGCCAACAGCTCCTCCGGCACCGGGTCCAGTTCCACCTCCATTGCTATTGGAATTGTTGTTCTCCTCGTCATCCGATTGCGAACTCTTGCCCTTGGAACTGCACCAATCGGACCAAACCTTCCGCGTCATTGGGCCATTCGAAGCTGATGTGGTATTGGTGGCCGTGGTGGTGTTGCCTCCATTGCCATTAGCCGCCTCGCCATCGCTCTCCGTGCTGCTCTCCATGTCGAGGCTGCGTTGCTGCTGCTGCTGGCGTGTCTTTGAGACTGCTGGATGCCCAATGGCAACCGTTAGTCCCCCGCCGCCGCTGACATTGGCCGGCGACTGCGATTGAAGACGCTGCTGCTGCTGCTGCTGCTGCTGTTGTTGCAGTTGGGCACCGGTGTTGATGGCTCCGTTCGACTGTTCCCGCTCCCGCTGATGATTGTGGTTGTTGTTGGCGTGATTGTTACTGTTATTATGATGGTTGTTATTGTGATTATGGTGATGCTGGCCAACGTTTGCCTCACGCTTGGCACGATCGCGAGTGGTGCGCACAGTTCCTGCAACAAGAAGGAAGAATTAGGGTTAATAATCCTGATTTTAATATGAGAAAACACTAACATTAACATTAACTATTAATTTTGCGAACCAAGACTTAAACAGAGCAGATCCTCAATTATTGAAATTGACAGAGTATATAATAATTTGAAAATAGACTTTAGCAAAGTAAACTAAAAATCGTTACCCTAAAAAGTAATTTTTAATAATTCTTAAGTAATCACAAGTTGTTGGCAAAGTAAATTCAAAGAAACATTTCTAAATCACTTAAAAACTGTAAGATGTCTGAAAGATCTGCGCTGTAACCGTCTTAATGGTTATTAATTTAATATGACTATCGCATTAATATTGATTATATTGTACAACAAATAATCTTATTAGATATTTTGAATGCGATTATGAAATGATTGATTCGAGTGAGAAAAATCATAAACAGGAAAACGATTTCTTGGTTTAGACAGTGATTGATGGATATATGGTGTAGGAATTTAAGCAATGCCGATAGATAGTGACTGTTTTCTGAGTGTGTGTGTGTGGTTTTGGTTATATCGATTTTAATTTCCAATTGGTGCATCCTGCCCTGCATCTCCTTTCCTTCGTCATTTGCCCTGCTGATGAACTTACCCACACTATCGTGATCGTTACCGCCTTTCGTTTTCAGGCGCTGAAAGTATCGCTCCAGTATAGTGCGATCGATCACATGCAAATAATACGAAACGGGCTTGCAGGTCCAGGACACAGAGCCCTTGAGGGCGGGATCTCGCTCACATGCATAATGGTGCCGATGTCGCTGAGGTTTCTGTAAGAAATAGGTACAGGTAAATAAGAATTAATATACGTGTTAACACATTTGAATAATAACAAAAAACCCACCTGTCTGTAATCCGAAAGTTCAGTGGACAAAACGACTTGGAGGATACGACCCTCGCTCCATCTCTCAGATCCGCAAATCTCTCCTTCAGCTGGTGATCCACCGTCGGCCCAAAGGCAAAATTATTTACAAATACCAGTGTTGAGGAGGTGATCTTCTCCCGATGTTCGTCCACCAGGAAGTCGCCTTTGATTAGCTTGTATTCGCAGTAGCGCTTCCCAAACCAACCCATATACTGACGAAAAAACACATCCATGCGCTCCGCATAACGTGCCGGCGTATCCGCCTTCTCAATGCCAATGCAGGTTTTTAGGGGAAAGGATCCGGCCATCTGGAGGACGACCTGGCCCACTCCCGAGCCAAGATCAATGAACGTGTCCTCCTTGCCGACGGTGACGTGCTTGAGCATCTGCTGCACCAGCTCGTAGCTCGTCTCGCCATAAACCTCCGGCGAAAAGGGCTCATACTGGTTGAGCTTATCCGGATCGAGTACGGCAGCATTGTAAACTAATTGCAAAATATGTCTTAGAAGGCTAGGGTGAGCGAACTTGTTTAGGCGCTCGGCGGGCAGTGAAGTTCCTTTTCCTAAAAAGGTGAAGAGAGAATATATTAATTAAAGTTTAATCACTAGGATCAACAAATTTATAGCAAAATACTTTTTATTTAACTACAAATTAGATTTTGCTATAAATATGTTTGAATAGAAAGTACTTACCAACGCAACGATACTGTCGACGGCCTTATTGAAGCGATCGACCAGTCCGGTCATAGTCTTATAGCAGGCAGTGTCAATTTGATTGAGATTGGTCTCCTCAAAGGCCGATGACATCGATGGCAGTTCATCGCAGACAAACTTAATGGTGTCGATAATGTCGATGCCATTATCATGCTTATCCTGTCCATGTCCGATCTGCAGGGCCAGGCGAAGGAAATGACATCGGAGGAGCCAGCGGGCGAGCGCAACACCAAGTCCTTGACTTGAGGTGTGGCCATATTTTTCCGCTTTCCTTGGCCAGCCTTTTATTTTCCGTTTCTATTTTGTTCCTTGTTTTTTATTTTATGTGTGTGTGTGTGGTTTTTTGGTGTGCGTGGCAAGGGGCGAGATCGGTTTTTGGTTTCTGGGATTTTGGGCTCTAAAACAACGTTTTGCTTTTTGCTGTTTTAGGTGTTTTTGTTGATGGATCGCTTATGGGAGTGAGTTTATGTTACGTGCAAAACGATTTGATGATCAAAATTGGCATAGGGTTTGTTGTGTTTCTGTAGTTTTGTTTTTCTTCTTGCGTTTACGTTACGGTTTACGGTTACGGCTACGGGCTACGCTTATTTTAAATGTTTTCTTAATCTTCCGTTTGTTTTTTGTTGTTGTTGTTGTGGATGATGTCTTAGGAACAGTGGCAGCGTTGGGTTAATGTATTGGGCTAACAATATTATTACTATTATGCTTCAACTACTCTTCACGTCGTGCGGTGTTGCGTTGCGTTGCGTTGCGTTACGTTAAGTTGCGTTTGCGATGCGTCGCGTTTGCTTTGAACGTTACTGTTGCTGTTTTTGCTGCTGCTGCCGCTCTGCTTCCTCTTCTTCTACTACTACTACTTCCGTTGCGACCGCTTCTTCTTCCGGTTCCGGTTCCTTTGCCTCGTGCTCTTCCTCTTACTTCCGCCCGTCTTCCAGCAGCAGCGACAAAATACAAAAGTAACTGATGATAGTTGCGTAATTTGATATTTTGCTGGATGTTAAGAAAACGATGCATTTTCTTCAGTGTACGGCAACAACAACATTTTCCAAATGTTCCTCTTCTTTCTTGCTATTGTTCTTGTTTCGTCTTCTGCTCCTTCAACCTGCTGTTGTATTTCTTGTGATTTTGTTGTTGTTGTTGCATTATAGATTCCACACGTTCCGTATCAATTCAGTGCGTTCCGTGGCACGCGCGCGTTCCCGAATACCGTTACGCATATTGCACGTACCTCGACCCAGTGTTGTATAGTGTACTTTGAGTAGCTGCTTTTAATATGGTTTTTCAGCACTCAACTTTTGTTTATGTACAGTTATTAATGTGTTTTCTATAGTTTGAGTCTGTAAAAAGAGAGAAAAGAAGAAAAGAGAAATGGTAAAAACATAAATAAACAGGGTTCGGCATATGACATAATCAAAATAATTTGTGGGAAAAATAATAGTGGAATTCAAAAATGATTTTGATGATTAACGAATATGGAATGTGTAGTGTAATGCAAATAGTTTGAATATACTAAATGATATTTTACACGAAGATGTATAGCAAGATGTGGCGTTATATAGATTATAGATCATGTGAATTTTAATAATATTTTAAATAATTATATTTTAATATTTGATAATATTTTAATTACACCTTATTCTGTGAGAGTGTGTTTACTGATTTTGTTTACTCATCTATTATTTATTAGCTTGGTAATGCTGTATTTTTTAGTATTAGATAAACATGCTCAAACTGAACTGAAATTGATTCCCACACTGAGATTAATATAAGCCTTTTTCGTCATTGATATGCAACACCTCTCTTTTGCTTTGTGTCTTGATTTATTTTACTTATTTTGTTCAGGGTGGCTTTCGTTATATATTTTTGTACTATGCTAATTAATCATGCCTGGCACGTTTCAGGTTTTTTTTTAATAAACTTTTTTCGCTTTGTATTTAATGTTATGCCATTCTTTTTTTTCCTTCTATTTTTGGTGGGCGTAGACGCAAGCCACCGACAATGTGACTTCATTAGCATAAACAGCGTTGACGACAGCTTTCATTGCGGGGGGTGGCGGTGGCCGGTATTGGTAGGTGTGGAAATGCCAGCTAGGGAAAATCGATAACAACCCCAGGGTCTGATGGCTTAAATTAAAGAATACCTGAAAATGGCCGTCATTTGGGTATTTTCTAATTAAAGCTTACGCACACCAGGAGCCATTGAAAATCCCCGTGAACCGAGGGAAAAGCTATTTAAATAAGAAGGCTATTTTCGAATTCTAAACATTTTCTGTGTGTAAGGGCGGCTTATTCGCAGCTTAAAGCTTCAATAAACCCATATAGCGAGTAGGTATCCAGTGAGGCGTTAAAAATTTTGGCTAGACAAGCGCCACATTAAATTGAATGGGTTTTTAGCCTGTACACACTCGCTCGATATGACCAGATGTACGTTTATATATACATTTTCACACACACAATATATATATATATCCTAACCCCGTCTGGAAGCTGGCAAACAAAACTGCAGTACATTATATGGCCGATGCAAACATACTATATACATATATATGTGCATATATAGGAACGAGTTCCGTTATGTGGCATCGCATCGCATCGTTGTTGTTTATGCATGCACGTGTGCGCATCTCGTTTCGCAATATGTATCTCTGGCTCTCTGTATCCTGCGGGTGTGTGTATCTACGTATATCTATACCTACATATATGTGGCACCATGACAGCAGCCCCCAAACAGACGGCCAGACAAAAGCTCCATGTGGCATCCGTCTGCTCCCCTCCGTAAACCGTAGAACCAATAAACCACCGCCCCACAGGTCGCCCATTTCGCCGGTCAAGCCGACAAAACGACAACAATTGGCCATAACAACAACGGATAGCGGCGACAACGTACGACAGCGCCACATTGACAATTTATTGTTAATCAATACCCAGGCCGACCAATGAATTTTATTTTCAGCATTTAAGCGCCACCGGTCATTTGCAATTTAAGAGAGCCTATGTCTGTGTGTGTGTGTGTATATGCGTGTGGCATTGAAAAAGTCGGAGAAAAATGTCTGGTACTGGAACAGCGATAAATAGACGCAGTGGAAAGAGGAGAAAGTTTTGGGAATATGTCTAAAGGGAGTATTAAGAAATGGGTAAAGTTGATAAAATTTAATAAGAAATCGATAAGAAGCCTTTACCACTAAATTAGATTTAATAAATACTTTACTCGAAAGGGAAATTATTTATTAGGGAATGGTTATTTGAAAATATCTTTTTAATTGGTTAGTGAATACGAAAAGAAACTAACTTTGGTAAGCCAAAGTTTATATACCCTTGCTGTTTGGAACTGAATTATAGGATCGAATCGGAAGTATTTGCATTCTTGGAGTCGATATATTTCTATGACAATTTTTTTCGATAAATCAAAGTTTAAAAAAATCATAACTATGCTAAAAAAGCATTAATTTTAATTCGGAAATCTTTTCTATGTTAGTTTTTAGTAGATTAATAAATCTACATACCGAATGGAACATTTAAAAACATTCAAATTTTTATCAATTTTTTCAAATTTTAACGATGTAACCCTTTTAAAATTTTGAAAATTTGAAAAAAAAAAATTTTTAATAATTATTTTTACTACCGGACATGGCTAGATTAATTTGTCTGTTGATGCTGATCAAGAATATATATGTTTTATGGGGTCGGAAATGACTCCTTCACTGCATTACAAACTTCTAACAAAAATTATATACCCTGCAAAAGGTATAATAAATTATAGAAGTTTACAGTGTTATTAATAACAATTATAATATTCTATTACACCATTTCCCCATATATATTATATTATATAATATATGTTTTTAAATAAATTTGGTTGGTTGTTCGGACCACTGTCTAGACTTGTGGTTTGTGGCCAAAACAAGACCATTTATCAGGCATTGAACCTATAGTCTGCCAACTGAACAATAAAGCAGACCAAAACAACAACAAAAGCCAAATGTTTTGGCCGTACTTGGTCGATGGCTATAACCGTAAATTGCGGCTCGCAACCGAATATCAAAAAGTCAAAGTCATTTTCATTACAGCAAACCCAGACAGTCGTCGGCCAAAAGGATCCCACCCTATATTTCTATATCATCCTTAGGGTCCTTTTTGGCTGCTGTCTAGCCGCAGTCGAGGAGGCATGTGTGCGTGTCCTTGCATATTTCCAGCGAAAAGCTATTGAAAACATCAGACATTTTGGGAAAGGGTTCCGGGGAAAAGCCCTTTGTTTGTAAAATACTAGGTGAAAAGTAGCTACAAATTACGTATACGCAGTGTTGGCGGGTTAAACTAGATTTCTTGGAATTAAAAACTTGAGCTACTCATATTTCTCCATCAGAAATTCAAATTATTCAACCGGGTTTTTATTAAGAGCAATGTGAATTCATTTCCTTTTCCAACTAATTAATAAATTCAATTAGAGCTAAAATCAATTACTGTGGGAAATATTATGCTCATAATTGATGTTGTTTTTTTTTTAACAATAATAATTATTTGACTTTCCACCCCTTTGGCTTAGGAAAATAATTGTGCTCTCTTAATTAATGTAAATATTTCCCTTTTATTATTGTTAATATTTGTTGTTTATTAACTTTGTGGTAAAATCATTTCAAAGCTAATTAGACACGGCCGCGCTATTTTTATCATATATGATGTATGTATGTTTGTTATATTTATTTATTTTTATTATTTTTTGCATGCCCGTGGAGACGTGACACACATTTCGCTGCTCTAGTATATACACAAACATATTCCGAGAAAAGCTGACACAATTATGCGGCTCACAGAGGAATGGAAAAGGGGGATTCACATTGCCATCGGCAGAACGCGCTTTTAATCAACTTAAAAGGCGCACACACACCACCGTCTCTCTCTCTCGGTTACTCGCAAATACACAACAAGAAAAGAAAGGTGTCTAAATAATCATCTATAACCTGGGAAAATAAATAAGTATTTAAGCACTCTATAAACAAATGTATTTAGCAACATAACAATACAATAAAAAAACTTGACTTGCTATTAAATACTTGAAATTCCTTTTGGTTAAATTACATTATTCAATAGATCTTTCTTAACAAGTTCTTGAGATACCCAATTATGAAAAACTATATATTAAAATAATCTCAATTCGACATAAATAATATACAATTTCTTGTAGTGTAATAGTTGACAACGCCCACGCATCCAACTTTTATTATTATTACTATTATTATTTTTTTGCAATATTTCTCGCATTTGTTGTTTTCTGTTTATGCCTTTTCCTTTTTATTATTTTTATGACTCTTTGCCTGCCACGCTGTCTGCCATCGTTGCCCTCCCACTCGCTCTCCCTCTCGGATTTCCCTGTGTGTGTTTGCTGATATCCCAAACTAAAATAATAAAAACAAATTGCCTATAAAATGTGAGCTATGTGGCACAACAGTTCTAAAAATTTATATTTCAAGAGAGAGGAAGTGTGGGTCTAGTTTTATTATTATTGCGATTGCGAAGTGTGTCAAGGTCAGCAATTGTGGCAGCAATTAAAAAATTTGTCAATTATTCCGTTAAACATTTCTAGCGTTCCATGTTTTTCGCGTTTTTGCGTTTTGTGTTCAAATAGCTTTTCATTTCGTGTTCTAACAATAAACATTTGTATATATTTATTCTCAGTTGCATTTTACATGTTTACTTTTTGTATATTGTTATATATATACTATATTATTTTTTTTCTGCTCCCATGGTCACGTGTCATTGTAGTAATTGTTGTTGTTGCTGCCACAAGGTCGAATTAGTTTACGCTTTGATTTCTCGTTAATTATTGCTGTAGTGCCTTTGGTGCTCAATGCCCAATGAGTTTTGCATTTTCCCTTTTTTCGCGTTTTATTTTTGTTAGTTGAGAATATTTGTGCAAACATCTTGAACTATAAATCTTTGATTTTTATTTCCTTGTTGAAAATACAACAATAGCATCAATAGCTGAATCATCGAAAAAATACTGTAAATACTGTAAATAAATTTGTATAGTTTAAAAGCTTCTTTAAAGCCATGTATTATTTATTTCGTATATTTTTGTTGAAAAACAGAAAGGGGATTTTCTAGACTTGTAATTTAATCCGCTGCCTCAGTGGTAAATTGTGAAATTCCTCCAAAGAACAAATGTGAAAAATATAACATACTTGATTAATTAAAGGAATTTAGCAGCTTCTATATAAAAATTCAAGTCAAGACTAATGATTGTTAATATATATGCTTTTAGCATAGGATCAAAGTCTTCATTTGTGTTTTTAACATTGTTTTTCAAACAAAATTGAGGTCACCCATTATCTGTAATCGCA